CAAGCCTCTTGAAAAACTCTTCGTACGACCCAAGAAAAGACAGATCAAGAGTCCGGCCTACATCTTCGGAATCCAAGAACACTTTGCAGTGACCAGTGTCCAGCCCGATTTCAGACGAATGATAACCTGGTTTCCTCAAAAACTGGGCACTAGACAAATCCAATGAATTCTTTCCCTGACCTACTTTAGAAGACAATTCACTCGACATCTGCTGCTCAGTGAGAATCGGCTGACCAAAGAGTACAAAACGAGGTTTCTTTGGACCATCGGGTTTGTCCGATTTCTGACTAGAGTTTCCCATGCTTAATAGGCAAGATATATTCTCATTGCCTGACCCCACATTTGTACTGTGGGGAATTCTCGGACGAGAATCGAGGTGCATGAAACTAGGTGGAAATAATCCCATGTGCAGTTTGTTGTTGCTGAGGTGGAGATCCGAAAAGGGGACTCCAATTTGAGCATGCCTGGCTCCCTGTATGCCTGCAGTTAGGATGTTGTCAGAGAGACAACATAGTGGACTGCTAGGACCAAGGGGGTTGCCTGAAAACGACGGCATTTGAAATTGACCGTCGAGTTGGAAGTCTGTGTGATGGGGTAAACGCAGCTTCTTACGAGGTGGTGAGAAGGGTGAGAGGTGGATTGGCATATTAGAGACCATTTCGACTAACCAAGGGCTCACGCACTTCACATTTTGCAGTAGATCTGGTTCATCCCATGTCACCTGTGTGTCAGGAAAATATGTAAGAAAATCGACTGGAAGCAGCGATAAAATATTGATTGAAGGGAAAAATCCCATTATTGGAGGATAATCTATCTACCATGTTGCTTTCTTAATTTTTCCGGTGTAATAAATTCTACACCGTCGGGAAAAAAACAGCACATAAGCCTCATAGAGCATATTTAAGACATGCTGACTATGGTGGTTGGATTCGGGAACTTGATGAGAATACTATGTAACAGAATAACAAGCATATGTTGCTCTGGGTACGAAAATGAAAGCACAATTGGCATTGCATACAACAATACAGTTAATTCACTCTGACGAAAACAAATGAATAAGAAAAGAGTTCAACAAAAGCAAATGAAAACCCCATAACCTATCTTACTCTATAAATTTTACAGTAGCCGAAACATTGAACTAAGAAAATATCAATTAACCAACAAAGTAAATGAAACAGATTCAACTGTCAACGAAGAACAACGCTGGAGAGATGTACGAACCTGAAGCATTCTCCAAGGTGAATTGGGCCAACGAAGAGGGTCGACAACCTGAACATTAGCTATGGTGCCCATAAACCAGCTAATTCTCGACGAATCTTCCGTCTCGAAAGGCATCTTGAATCTCATCCCAGAAAACCACTGTACCCTCATCGCAGAATTCACAGACGAAGCTTTCACACAAAACTCAGGCGTGCTCGCACGAGGATAATAAACAACCTCAAAAGCCTGTCCATTAGCCGCCATGAAAGTGGCCTCCACAACCGACTCTGGCCTGATTTTCCCCTTCTCCCTCAGATTCCCGTTACATACACCTCTGTGTATCTCGTCCTCCTTCAGAAACGGAGAAAACCCGAAATTTCCGGCACCGCCGGAGTTCCACCCGGAGGAGGAGGAAGAGTCCTGACCGCCGCCGCTGCCGCCCCTCTTAGCCCTTCGGATCCCGACACAGAGATCTCCATTTTCGGACCTTAAGAAAACGATGGAGTCACCGGCGACAAGCTTCTTCTGATTGACGAAGGTACTCCATCCAGTAGTCAACAAGTGCCTCCGGGGCGTTCCTCTGTAGATGTGCCTGAACTTCCACGTTTCTCCATGTACGTCTTTAGCGATGACGTTCTGCACGGGCGGATCGGCGGTGTAATCCAGAGGCGGGAAAATCGTCTCCGCGCAGAATCTAGGAACAGAGAAACCGCCGCCGTTGTTGGCGTCGGATTGCGTGAGGGTTTTCGCGAAGGAAGTTGGCTTTTCGCCCGACGCCGCAGATCCAGCGATTCCCAAATCTCGACCGTTGTCGTCGAAGCCGTGCTCGTTTTTCCCGACCGGAATCAGCCTAATCTTCGCGTGAACTTCGTCGGTCTCGGCGTCGGCGAGAAATTTCACGGCGATTACACGGCAGAGAATCATCGGCGGAATTTTCGGCAGAGCGCCAAAATCAACAGTGGTGAGAGTGTGCTCGGCGTGGCCCTGCGGGAAATAGAAAACCTTCGAATTCACCGGCGGCATTTGAACCATGCCTCCGGCGCACGCGTGCCACAGCTCCGAATCCAAACTCTTCTCCATCACTTTACCTAATTTCTTCAAAATCGACAAAAAAAATAAAAAATCAGTATATTATGACCTAGAGAGAGAAAACAAGGCCGGAAAATTCAGAAAAATCGGCGACGGAATGTGGAAGAAGAAGCGTGGGTCAATTTTCCGGCGCTTCTCACTCAACCGCCATGCGCGGCAAGCACCGAACTTGGGGTCAATTAAAAACGACGGCGTATGAGATGAAGCCGGAGAAAGAAGCTAATTGCTGCTGCTGCTGTTGTTTGTTGGGTTTGACATGGATTTATGGTTGCCTTTCTTTTTTTTTTTTTTTTTTTTTTAGTAGTTATCTTTTTGTTTCTCTCACATCAGATCTGAACCAATCTCCACGCCCAGACAAAAAGGACAATTTCATTTATTCATTTTCTATTTTTTATATTCCATATTATTTAATTAATCATTCTTCTATTTTTCTTTTTTTTTTCTTTTTGATGAATTTTAATTTTCCCGCGAGATCTCACAGACGACATTTTTGTGTATAAACAAATTAGGGTAAAATACGAAAACCCCACTGGATTTAAAATAAATAACAAAAAACACCCTCATCTCTCTCCGTAATAACCAGAATCCCCCTTCTGATTAACTGTTGATCGAGTTTTTTTAACAGAAAATGTGTACGGTCTATTATACATTCTGTTAAATAGGTGAGAAATAAAAGGGATATCTGAAATTGTGTAAAGTATATTACCTGGGGTTAGTGTAAGACGGAAACAAACCTCAGGGAGTATTTAGTGATTATGAATAGATGAGGGCGTTTTTTGTTATTTAGTCTATGTTTGGGGGTTTTCGTAATTTACACAATAAATTAAAATATTGTTTTTCATTTTAAAGAAAGTTAATTAAGAAAATATTTATATAAAAAAAAAAAAAAAGAATTAGAGGAGGGGTATTGTCAGTGAGTAGTTGAGGAAATATCGTGTGGGGGCAGATGATAAATGGATATATCGCGATATTTTAGGGACAACATTGATGGGGCGTCAGTACGGGTTCTGACCCGACCGGTCATTTTGACTTGACATATTTAACCTCGGGTTTAAAATTCTCTTTGTCCATTTCTTGCTTTTTACCATGGTTAAACTATCTATGTTCACTCTACGCTTTCTACTTTTGGCTTTCATTTACCTACTAACTACCAGCCGCGATCAATGCGCGTGGGTTTCTATAAAATTTCTAATAAGTTTATGCATTTTTTATATAATATTTTAGAGTTTCTTTAATAAATTGTTGAGATATTTTAAATTAAAAACTATCTTTGAAGTTAATAGTGATTATAATACTCTAAATAAAATTATTGAAACTCTAGTCAGGTACGTTAGCTTTCTAATTCAATTAGGATCACCTATATTGGATATTAGACGATAAATTTATAAATGAATGAGCTATATTTTGAATTTTAAGCAACTCAAAACATTAAAGTTGTTTGCAGTACCCATCGATTCATGAATATATTTCTTACACGACATCCAATCTCAGTGATTCAAGTTCAATCAGAAAACTAACTCAAAGATCTACGAATTACGTATTTTGAAGCCACATTATTACGTCCCGTAATCGAATCATGGTTGAAATGTCGAGAATAAAAGTATTTTGAGAAAAAATAAAAGAAAAAGAAAAAAAACATACTCATTTATAGTAATAGATATTCTATTATAATACAACAAGAATGTAGAAAAATGGAAGTGATATTTAATATTTTTCTCCTAAAAAATAAAATCAAAGTTTAACTTTAAGAGGGAATTTTATTAAATAATAGAGAAATCATACGCAATGTGAGAACACGCGCCCAAAGAGTAGCGTTTGATGAGTGAATAGCAGGCATAGGTAATGGTGACATCACACTTTGTTGCTTTTCGAGGGTCGTAGGTAACCCCACCCCATTTACCCTGCATTTTCTTCACCCTTTGAATCCAAACAATTACACTTCTGGTCCTAATGTTCACCCTATTTCACTTTTAGTCCACATTTTTCTGAAATGGACAAAATACACTTTTTTTAGGAAGACAAAATAAATATTATAAAATATCAATTTAAAACACATTTGTGCTGCACGTGACATTTTTTTGTTAGCTGCTGAAGGAGTGGACCAAATGTTTCTTAAATTGGTGTTTTAACGTGTATTTTGTCAATCTTAAAACAATGAGGACAAAGGTGAAATTGGATAAATATTAGGGTCCAAAAGTGTAATTATCCCCGTTTCATCTCTCAAGTCGATTAGTACTTAACACTAAAATGGATAAAATTTCGGACAAAAGTCGGTAGAAATCACTTATTTTATCGTCTGTAATGTAAAAATACATAGTAATATTGATATTATAAATGCAATTTTTGAATTTCTTTATTTTGGAAATCAAAATTGAAAAGCGTAATGAAAAACATTGTTCTAAAAAAGAAAATTGGATTGGAATCAGCGGAATTTAAAAATTAGTGCAACATTGATGATTTTTTATTTATTTATTTTTGTTTATGTATTATTATTTTCATTTTTTTTTATTTAATGTCTTCATCAACATCATTTTCATCCTAATTAGAGTAAATCTTTCAAAATTAGTTTCTAAGCTGAAAACGAGCCATACATATATATCCACTAAATCATGGTGTTATTACTTTATTAAGTTTATTTAATTAATTGCTTAATTTTGCTGCAAAATTAGTTTTGATGACGTCATAATTTCAAACCCCAACAATAAAAAACCTTAATTTGATTGCAGACTTAATCCAAAACAAGACATCAATTTCAGGAAATACCAAATCAACACAGATAAGTTAAACCTAATTAAACTAACCGACGTCTTATCTAATCGAAAAATTATCGTCGAATTATTAATTGCTTGAATATTAGAACCATCCTGCGTAAATTCAATGCTCGTTCGCGTGGCACACTAAGTGAAATTACGTATACGAATGTTCATTGGTTTGATAAACCGATCAAACGAATCAGTATTCGCACGTGTGAATACGTAACCGGTTATTCGGTTCGATATCATTTTTTTTAGAATTTCGGTAATTTATGAAATATTTCAATAATGGCAACATATATAAGAATGAAATTCATTTTGATTGGAGTATAATTTAATTAATTTATTTGACATTGCTTCGCTCATATACTTTGATATATAAACAACAAATACCATCATATAATTCGAAGGTGGTGGTAGGTCGTCATCATTCTTATTAAGGGCAAATTACGGCCAACTCCTGAGTTATGGTTAAATTACCAAAACTCTCATTCTGTTTGGGTAATTACAGTCACGCTCCTCAACTATGTACTATCTTACGAAAATACCCCTCCAGAGGTAAATTTAGGGATGTTAAATCGATAAAACCGAACCGAAATTTCGGTACGCCAACATTTCACACCGTTTACCGAACTGAATATACGATTTGGTTCGGTAAATAACCGAATTGCATAAATTTTATGTAAAAATATTTAAAATGAGCGGTGACTGTAATTATCCAAACAAGAGGGATTTTTTTTTTAATTTTGTCATACTTCAAGGGTGGCCGTAATTTGCCTTCTTATTAATTAGTGATGTAAATGTAATATAAAAAGAAATATATAATACAAATTATTTATTTATTTTAACTGTTTTCATTTTTATAGATTGGATATTTTGAAATTCATTTTTTTTTTTTTAATTTTTAAGTATCAAATTGTCTGTCTTTTGGTCCACCTGACATACACTGTTGGTCTGATTCCAAATTGAATTATTACCTACTCAAATATGGGAATTTTAATTTCACAATTCTTAAAAATTAAATAAAACAAAATAAAAATAAAAATAAATAAAATAAATAAAATGAAAGTGGTAGTTGAAAGTGGAAAACATTGATACAGACATCCCTGAACCCCCACCTAAGCCAAATCACAAGACAGCCTTCAGTGCAGTAAATATGACTCCCCCACCATTTTTATTTTTTAGTCCTCTCTCATATTTAATTATTAATTATCATATAATACTTAATAATTAATATATAATAAACTAAAAATGAAAAAAATAATATACAGACATAATTTTAGTTCATCGTTGCAAATTTTTCGATTTTTTCCAAACGAGATTGAAATTAGTTTTTCCACTTTCGGAAAAATCGGAAAATCGGAATAGAACATGCATGTAACACTAATAAGTGAGTGGCTGTATTCTTTTGTGCATTTATTTACACACAGTAAACAATACATAAGGGTATATATATATATATATATATATATATATATATATATATATATATATATATATATGAAGTAGCATGCTTTTTGTAGCAATCACAATCGGAAGGCAGGCCACCACAAAAATTGCATGGGCCCAAAAAGCCAGCTTTAGGGCTTGTCTTTTATTTTTGCAAAGTGGTCCTTCTTAAAAATTAGACACTTTTGTGATGGAATTTAATAATATAAACTGGTGGTACACACTGTCGTAAATTCTTCAACTTTGTCCAATATGTCAATAATGTAAATTAATTATATTCCAACAATATTAACTATTTTTTATTTATTTTTTATGGAGGAATGTTACAATTCAAAGAACTATTAATATGTTAAAACATTGAATTTAGAATAATAGTTACACATAGATTGCCATTTGTATGTATAAAGAAGGAAAAAAATTCAGTTTTATCCTTCAAATTTGAACTGATTTCACATTTGGTCCTTATGTTCATAAAAAACACATTTGGTCCCTCATGTTTCAAAAATTCAACATTTTAGTCATTTCCGTCAATGCTCCATTAGTAGTTAGTACTAACATAACACATCACCGCCTTAGCTGACGGACCAACGGTTGAAGGAAATGACAAAAAATGTTAAATTATTGAAACTCGAGGGACTAAATATGTCTTTGTGAATATAGGAACCAAATGTGAAATCGGTGCAAACTTGAGGGATGAAAACTAAAATTTTCCCGTATAATCAAGGTTCAGCCTCTAGTTAAAGTTGTACAACTAAACAAATATATGGTTAAATATAAATAGTAAATACTATTCCAACGATTTGAAAATTAATTGATGCACGGAATTAAAAAATATTTTTGTTCCACATAATGTACATATTATTTTCATTTATTCATTGAAAATTCAAGAAAATAGGAATTGTAAATTTTAACATACAAGTGAAGAACATTATTCCAAAATCAGAATTTCTGGATCGAAATCGTCGGGATTCGAAAATATCATTCTGATTTTCACCTTACTTTCATTTTTTTTATTCTTCCTCGATATTATATTTTATACGTTTTAATGATTTTAATTTCAATTGAATAAGATAGATAAAACAATTTGTCTCATATTTTAATTTTTTAATTGCTAAGGGCAATATGGGCATATAAGATTTGTGGTGAGTCATCAGTTATGGGGACTGAAATTAGAAGAAGACATGCAAAATGGATTGTCCATCCGACATTTATGCGACAGCCAACGTTTTTCAACTACTGCAAAGAAAAAAAGTAAAAAAAAAAAAAGAAAAAGAAAAAAAACCAAATAAATAATTAATTAGTTGGGCTTGTTTCCAGCTATATGTTATTTATTTGTTGGACCATTTTCATGGTTTTAGGGGGCACACAATATTAATTTATTAAAATTGCCAATAAATCTTTACAAAATAAGAAATTATAATTTAGTGCAAAACAAATGCAAGCCATTCGTGACAAAGAGATATAAAAAAAAAATCTCTACCAAAAGGAAATATGTTGTATTGTATATATAAGTTGGAAGACTAAAGACTTGTTTGGTTAAACTTATTTTAAACAGTTGATAACTTTTTATCATTTTAAGACATAATAAGCTCTTAAACATCTTATAAATTAATTTTAACAGCTTATAAATTTAAAATACATTATGCACAATAATTTCGTTAGCCCGAGCATAAATAATACATTAGATTTAGGGACCTCCTACAATTCATATATAATTTATATTTTGTTTTATATAATGTATACTTTTTTTATTTTGGAATTATATCAATAATTGTTTTTATAAAGTGGGGTTTTTAAATAAAGTTAATTAAATCAGATTTAATATTTGAATATCCATAGAGGCCTAAAATGGTCGGGGCCTTAAAGAGTTAGGACCACACAAAATCTGCCAAATGCACGGGCCGATCTTGAGTTTTGTGACAATGGATTTTGTAATAATTTTATTTTATTGATAAATTATATTTTAAATTGAATAATCAACTTAAAATTGAATGACTCTAGGAGTTAGTAATAGGTCCGATTTTCAATCAACACCATATGTTTATTTATTCATCTTGAAGAGCAAAGCAAATATAATTATTAAATAAAAATTATTATATGTGTTTGGAGAAAGCTTTTATTAATCATATTTTTTTAAATTTATTTATTTATTTTAACAATTCTAACAAATAAAGGAAAAAGAATCTACAATTAAAATTTCACGGCCCAAATATATAGACACATTCATATTGACTTGGGCTTTATTTTGAGCCTTTTACATAGAAAAGATAAAAACATGTTTTTCGTGTGTGTATTTGGAAATGAAGATTTTGGCTAGAATTTCGACAAGGTATTTAGAAACGTAGAAAGTCGGACAAAAACTAGGTTCTTTCTCCTTAAGACAAAATTGTTCACCAACACATTGCTTCGGTTATGACAGCTGCCTCCCAAGACACAACGACTAACAATTCCAACAGAGTAGCACACCAAATGTTGGACTACAACAAATGAAAATAGCGTTTTTCGATTTTGGACACGAAGAATATTAATGCAGGGATATGCTATGAATGCCTTGGACGAGTTCAGTAAGTTGCTGGAAAATTAGGGCTCGATTTATAGCTTTCAGAAGTTGTACAACACCTGAAAAGAGAAGGGGCCGAAAATGTACTACACCTTTTTGCTGGGATTAAACACCGACATTTTTTATATATATGTATATCATATTTTCAATATATTTCACGAGGTATATCATCGAATAAACCGACATAGGTTAGGTCATGAGCAAGCACATAGAATTATCAAGATTTTCATCAAATAGTAACACATTCAAAGGACAAACCATTGCAAATAAATGACCAAAATCATGGCCCCATAATCACATTCTAACATGTGACATGTCTGAAAATTCATCATAAGTTCAATATTTTAATTTGTTAGTGGCAATAATTTGATAAGTTAGCACCAACTAACACCAACAACAACCAACTTATTTCCAAACAGAACCAACCATAATTAGCAATAATAAGGTAGGGTGCAATATTTAGATCCCATCCCACACATTAAATTTGTACATTCAGAATCCAACGGCTTAGAATCGATCTGGAGCAACAAACACTTCATATAACGCAAGAGTTGCTTGAGTTTAAAAACTTAGTACTCAAATTTAGTCTGATTATTAATCAAATAAAAGTGCAAACGAAGCTACAAGGAAGCTCGAGCAACTTCATTTCTGATACACATTTACCGATTTTCTACTAAATAAAAGCTAGACGAAAAAAAGAAAGAAAAGAAATCATCGAATATTCTTACGGATCTTGAAATAACATAATAACCGAAACTCTCCAACATAATTCGGGCATAGTTTACGTACTAATCTAGTCAACAAATCTAACCTCAGCTCCGTTTCCCGACATAATCCTACACTAGACTCACTTCAACCTATGTACAAAAACCTAACTCGCATCATCGTACAAACAAAGAGCAGCCAACATGACTCCAAACAAGGGGAAAATAACAATTAAAAAAATACAAAAAAAAAAGGACGAAAATTTCGAAGAATTGAATTTGTAGCTACCTAATTTTTAGTTGATATAATCATTTAAATAGCTACTACCCATCGGATTGGGCACAAACTCCGGCTGTGGGGAAATTGGAGGTTCCTCAAATATATTAGTCGGAAATTTACCTTTATTTCGCATCTCGATAACTTTCTTGTGCGAGTTCGAATGCAAAGATGGTGCAAAGGTAGGGCTTGCAGCGGGCCTATATTCCGGGTATAAACGGCCCGATCTGTAGCGGACCCCACAAGCGTTGCACAGAGTCTTGGGCCCTAACGGGCCCTCTCTCCACTGTGGAGTCTTTGTCACTTCACAGTGAGTGCACTTTTTCGGATGTTTTTGCATCGATTTTTCGGAATATTCTTTTGCGGGAATCTTTCTAAATCTCCTCTCATTGTTATCTTTCGTAGTTTCTTTGGAGGCGAAAAGGGGAGATATGAAATGCCATGGGTTTGCAGGTGCGCGTCTAGCTCGTTTTGATCTGGGCCCCACCGGAATAACTCTTCCGTGATTGGTCGGCAGATTCTTTGGTAGTGCTGAGGTGGCAGCGTTGCTTTCGAGAACCGAAACGGGGCTCTGGATCTCGATAGGTTTATTCAGTTTTAGGGTTTGAGAGATGGGCTTCTTTTGCTCCCGAGCGTCGGAGATTTTTGAGGATTGTTGCGTTGCTGGCTGAAAAAAAATGATTAGAGCAAAAAATAAACATCAATTAAGAGATAAAATCGAAGGAAATACAACAAATGTAGATGAACTTTAAAATCTAGTCATCAAAGAGTATTTGATAACTCAATTTTGATATTTACCCTTAAAGTTGCATGCTTTCACTATTGGAAATTCTTACCGATTACATAAATTTTAACCCGTTTTACGTTTTTCGTGTATATCTTCGAGAGAGAGATAAAAAAATGACCCTTGCGAGCAATTTAATTCGACAATTCGATAAATTGACGAAAACTTACAGGGGAAACTCGGTCGGGAAATATATACGGAGGCCGAGTATCAATTTTGCAATCGGGTACGTTTGGAGGCTCGATTGCCACATCGTGTGGAATAGGTCCTAGGCAATGCGAGTTGCTAATATCCCAATCGGCCAAAAATCCATTATCGGCCACTTCAATATCCTCCATCGGAAAATCGAAATAACGGAGTACATTTTCGAATTCATCCCCTCCGACAGTGCCGTTCAGAACCGTATCCCAACAATTCCCAGCTTCAATCATACTCATTTCTGAAAAAAAACAAATTAATAAAAAAATATATACACAAATGAAAACCGACAACAAAAGAATTAAAAAAATAAATAATAAATACATAAAATAACAAGATTAATACATTTGTTCTGGTTAATAATTCAATAAGAACTATCTCACTCACACGTAAATAAATAAATAGATATATATATACAGACACCATTCGATGAGATTTTGCAGTATTGGTTAAGGAAAATGCATAAACATTAAATGGAAAAAATAATTAGGAAAAATATCAATTGGATTTTTTTTAATTTTTTTTTAACCTAACAGATGGGGATCAATAATTATCAAATTAGGGGGCGGTGATATCTATGTATTTGGACACTAATTAACAATTTGCTTAAGAATCCTGGTACGGATAAAAGAATATACCAAAATAGGATTCCATAGAATCATAAATTTACCGTAAGGTAAATAAATAAATTAAATTAAATAGTAAATTAAAAATAATAATAAAAAAAAAGTTGGAAAAATGAAAAGAAAAAGGTATAAAATCACTGTCTCCAGCTCACCAAATCTGGTGTTGAAAATGGCAGATTCTGATTAAATGGAATAAAAATAGAAATAAAGGCAAATACTTTAAAAAATTAAAAATTAAAAATACGTGTGCTTGGGTAAATCGAAAACAAGGCTCTGTTTGGCAGCTGAAACATAAAAAAGGAAGAACACCAGAAAAAAAAAAAGGTCAGCTTCGAAAACCCTAAATTCACGGATTACCAAACAGAGACTAACAGAAAGCAGGAAGAAGAATAAATCAGTTTTTTTCCCAAAAAAAAAAAAATTAAGCTTCGTAGAGAAATCGCAGTACCAGTTAGGTTAAATTGAAAAGAAATTTTGCATGAGAATGGAAAATGGTGATTGTGCTTACCAGAAGAAGAACCTTTATTACGCCATTTGGGATTGTGGAGAAGAGAGAGAGAGAGAGGAGAGAGAAGGGGGGTTTTTTGGAGAGAGAAAAGATAGGGCAGCGAAATTGGGGAAATTTCTAATTTCCTTTTTTTCACTTTATTGAGTGTAATGTGAAATCTAATAATAATGTGGGCTTTGTCAGGATTTTTACTGTTGGAAAAGACAGTGTACAAAATTACAAATAAGTACAGTTAAATGTATTCAGAAGCCCTGTCCCACATTTATTTTCATTTTTATTTTTAAATAAAGAAAGGAATCCATAATTATATATTATTACGTTTATTGAGTAAATTTGACTGTCGGTTCTAGCAGAGTCAGGATTTTGAGCATCGGTGGCCAAGTGTATTAGAATTTTAGGTAAATTACGGCCACAGTCTACATGTTTGAGTAATTACAGTCGCTCCATTAATTATATTGTCCTACACATCTATTTTTACGGATCAAATTTACTTACTGGACGAGTGTTTTTTCATAAGAAAATACATAGTCGGAGATAGTTGTAACTACGCAAATAAGATACATCTTTTCATAATTTAACTTTAAGGAGGATGGCCGTAAAATTATATTTTTATATAAGTTAATAGAGATTTGAGAAATGTTCGGAGGGATCGTGGCCTCCGTTGACCCTATACTCGTTCCGTCAATGGGTTCTAGAGTTCGAAGAGCCTACGCAAAATAAAAAGTCAAAAGTCATGGCCTTCTACAATATTACATATTTTTCATAAAAACACAAAGTATATATATTTTTATGTACAAAATTATATTTTCATATAATTCCTTTATAAAATTAAGCTTCTTGGATGTACATATATTTATTTTATATAAAATAATAATTATTTTATTTTATTTTAGAGTACTCATATTATGAGTAAAAAGAACATGCATGTGGTTGAACATTTTTTTTAGGTTTGAATTTAATGATTAGAAAGCAAAGGGGCCAAAATCACAACTAACTCGTACCAAATTTACTTCATTTCTACTCTACATTATTTGGGGTTTTTTATGCTGCACTATTAAATAAATCGTTGAATATGTGTTATTAAATGAAAAGAATCGTTTTAATTAATAAAAATATCAACGTTAATCAAATGTGATTTAACGCATTAATTAACAAAATTTTTGGTAATAAAATAAATTAAGTCAACTAATTAAAATGAAGAAATGTTGAAATGTGGTATGGTACCATGTTCACTATACACTATGTTAGGCCCCAATATTAAATGCAGATGAAGAATATAAATATTTTTCATTTATTGGGAGGCCCAAAGGAGTTGAAAATCCCAACATCTCACATGTGACTGTATTATATAGAATTTATTGCTTTACTTCACTCTCACTTTTTTTAATATTATTTATTTAATTTTTAATTATGGATGTAAGCGAATAAGAACTTGTTCGATTTTTTATCGAACCGGGCTTAATTGATCAAACGAAAATACGTGTTCAAACTTGATTCGTTATTTTAACAAACCGAGTTCGAATAAAGTATCCAGTAACTTGATTTGATTTTCAACCTTAGTTATGATGGTCAACTATAATCCAGGAGCAAATTACGAACACCCCCTCAGGTAATGTTAAGTTATGAAAAACACCCTCATATTTGGATAATTACCAACCATTCCCTTAACTATGTATTGCCTTATATACGTCCATCTTTTTGGTGTCAAATTTACCTACTAAATGATGGGTTTTTTTCGTAAGACAATACATAATTGATGGGTGGTTGTAATTACCCAAACAAGAGGGATTTTTCGTAATTTAATCTTACCTTAGGGGAGTGTCCGTAATTTGGCCTATAATCCAGTAGCTTCTAAATGAAAAACAATATTCATCCTCATATTCTAAAAGACTTGTTAATACCTCTGGGCTACAAATTTGTAAAACAAGGGTAGAATAGTAAAACAGGACTAACGAAGCGACTCAAACTTGATTCGTTATGTTAACAAACCGAGTTCGAATAAAGTATCAGTAACTTGATTTGATTTTCAACATTGGTTATGATGGTCAAATATAATTTAGGAGTAAATTACAGACACCCCTCATGTAAGGTTGAATTTTGAAAAAACCCCTCATGTTTGGGTAATTACAAGCATATCCTTAACTATCTAGTGTCTTACACATCCATCATTTTGGTGTCAAATTTACCTACTAAATAATGAGTTTTTTTCGTAAGACAAATACATAATTGAGGGGTGATTGTAATTACTCAAACAACATGAATTTTTTCGTGATTTGACCTTAACTCAGGGGTGTCGGTAATTTGCCCCATAATCCAGTGGCTTCTAAATGAAAAACAATATTCATCCTCATATTCTAAAAGAGAAAAAAAAAATGAGGGGATGGGGCGTTGGGAATAGCGAGACAGGCTTGTTAATATCCCTGTAAAACAAGGGTAGAATAGTAAAACAGGACTACTGGAGTGACTAAAAACTTAGTTATTTTGTCAATACTGCACCTTTTCTTTTCTTCTACTATAATGCAACTGAGATTTACAACTTAACTTTTGATGTTCTTCTTCTTGAATTTACAAACAGAAAAATGAAGAGAACTAACAAGAGAGCGGTGACGGATATAGACAGTTTCCAAGAAGGGGGGTTGTTGAAAATCGGATACGCGCTTGTCGATTGTGTGTTTGTCTGAATTTCCTGCTATTTAAATCATGCAAAAAACGAGAACTATAATCAGACAACCGTTCTCAAACATTCGAGTAGTAGAAACACTAAGTAAACCATGAGCATATACTTTGGTCAATGCCGTCTGTAATCTTTGTAATAAATATGGAATTTATAATTACGCCGTAAAATTCAGACAAGAGATGGTAACTTACAGCAGAAACCATGTTGTGCAACACGTGTGTCTGTTGCTTTGTGAAGATATGTTGAGCGTATGTATAGAGCTTCATATCTAGGCTGTTGAGTGATTCTATCTCCTCGATAAGAATCTTCGAAACCTGCCGACGGGCCTGAAAAATATTTACGCTAATAATATCAGTGCATTAATTCATTACGATCATCGAAAATCTGCAATGAAGTTATCAAACAAACAAACCTCTTTTGTGAAGTTTGCTGGAGAAATTCGCTTGAGAGAATTTACACGCCTCTCTGCTTGGGAGTTTCTTAAGTTTGCAATACATGACTCGTACGCTTCCATTAGTTTCCCGACAGTCAACTGACAAAAACGACACAGAGACCTCAGATCCACATCTCAATTATGCAAAAGAAATGGAAAAAAAATAAATAAAAATTGCAAACGCACATTTTCACGTCTTACTTCATCCTCGCCAGTTGATGAAACATTTTTTAGGGTTTCATGAGTGCTGTTGCTCTGTAATCAGAAAAAAATACGAAGCTAAACATCACGGCATTTGATTGTAACACGCATTCAGATGAAAATATAGCTTCTTACTTGACCGGTCAGATCAGAATTTGTACTAGAAAGCAAGGACCTCTTTTCTGCAGTAGATAAGAATTCAATAAGATGAGTAACGATATACTTAACAATTGGAATCGAATAATAAATTCCCAAAGATTGCACAGAGACTATTAGTTCTATATAGTTCGAGCGAATTAATTCAGACAAACTAATTTGAATCGTTATTACCTGCAACATCTGAACCGGAGCTTGATATTGTGTGCTGAGATATCACCTGTGAACCAACGATATTCGCAAACATGGTGGCCGATTCTTTATGGTTTTCAGTCAGTCCAACGTAGAGCATATTGTCTAACTTTCTCTGCAAGATTTAGAACTTTCGCCCATGATTGAAGCCATAAAAACGAAGAAACTGTATAAAAACGGAAATGAACGTAACAGATAACTAACATGCTCGATTTAGACCTTTCCCCATACCTTTGCAACTTCAAGAACAAGGTCACCGAGAGAATGGTACTTAAGTACACAATGACGGACTTCGTGTGCTTCCCCGAAATACGAGTTGTTTGTGAGACCTACAATCTGAGAATTCAAGTGTAAATACATCAGAAACTTGGTTTTGCATAAACCATCGTTTTCTTATGATTTTTTTTCTCAATGAAGAACAAAACAGTGTTATCAGCATCAACGAAACAATCTCAGGAGCTTACTATTTTTTTTAACACCATATCAATATAAGACGAAAAAGTTTACTACGATACCTGGAAGGTGGCACCGTTATGGACAATGTCTCGAGCAATCGGGTCGTTAATGTACTCATGTAGAGGCATCAATACGTCTTCCATGTCGTACGAGTCGTTTGTCACTAAATGAGATTGCCCTCTAAGTTTTCTAGCGTCCCTCTGTCAAGACGGGTAAAATCGACTGTTAGATAGGATACTCAATGCGCAAATATATAACTCGAAGTGATGTTCTAGAACATACTCGAGCAAATAGATCTTCTCTCATCCAAGGAACCAAATACTTCCATGGCCATATATCTAGTGTGCTCACTGCGGAAGTCTTACGACGTGCACGTTGAGCCATTTTTGCAACAGATGATAAGTTGGGATGAATCAAGAATCTAGCAGCCACCTCCACAGAGAACTCGTAAGTGCTAAAAACACGGTCGATTGGGTTCCTAAGTATTGTCACCACTGAAGTTTTCTCCTTGGGAAGTTTCGACATCATGCTGTAGTCATCGTGGGTACTTAACAAACGGCAGTTTGCTTTTCTGCATGATGATAAACAAATATTCCAAATCTTAGATATCTCTGTAACGTGTGTAGAAAAACAACACTACTATTTCATAAGATAAAAAAGGCATTGTAATATCTAGAGACAAACTACTTCATGAAATCTTCTCTTTTGTGTTTTGACTGTTTATCACACATTGTACACGGGATTGTTTATCAACAAATGTTTATTTTGTCTAGCAAGAGGACTGAAAATAGACATGTTCAAATAATTAAGAGGCCATAACCTGTCGGTTACTAACTTTTTTTTTGGCATCTAAGATTCTTTATGATTACTCAAGTTGACACACACACACACACACATATATATATATATATATATATATATATATATATAAATAGATTTCGGAACATACCATGACAACAAACATTTGGCAACAAAGGAAAATCTCTTTATGCATCGAGCAAATTCTCATTAGCTGATTTCATAATAACCGATTAACTCAAACTATTTAACAAATCAATGATTTCTCAGACTAAAAGAGGAAGGACAATAACAATTACCTTGGATCAAATCTTAACTTATCATAGGACCGTGGGCATTCTTGGGAGTTCGAGTACAACTTTTTCAAGAAACTACAAAATAAATTTGAAAAAAAAAAATAGCACAACAAACAACAGTCAGTAATTTGTGCCGTGATGCAAACTTTGAAGTATTATCACTGATTAGAATCTATTTTCCATAGCACAGAAAAACCAATAAAAAAAATTACCAGTGGAAATATGTTCTTCCTCCTGTTCGAGGTACATGAAGGAAAAAGAGCAAATCGCGTAAGGAATGTTTGTCTTCTTGAACTTTGTGATCAACAGAAGAGGATGCCCATTTCTTGACAGTATTTTCACACTGCTTATAACCATCATCCGACGCCAATGCCTTTATTGTACAAACTGAAAAAGAGGAATTTAAAAATATAGTTAACAAAAGAAACTCGTCGTGGCTGAAGAACGACATACAAGAAACATAACTCATGGTCCTAATAATGTTTGATGCAAATAAGGTCGGAACTATCGGTTTTAACATCAATGTTGTTAAACAAAAGTTCTACAGAGACGTAAAATCAATCGAAGTAGTAATCATCAGAGAGCACGAGCAAACACCAATAAATGCTATGGTATAATCCAAAACACGACTCGAGAAATTCAATTTTCAAATATTACATTATTCGTTCAAATAAATAAAAACCAAACCAAACGAAGAACAAAAGGAGAAGTCGCCATAGAACACTCACCAGATAGAAGAACCACCAGGATTAACCCCAACACTAAATGAATTATCTTCGACCTCATTCCGACCTCCCTAATTACAAAAAAACCACCAGCACTGCACCACCGATTCGAAGAGAAACTGTAGAATTAATCATCAATCATTCATCGCATAATCCAACCAAAAAATTGAAAGAGGCGAAGCCTTCATATGGAAAAAAAAAACGCCGAACAGTAAAAAAAGCAAACACCTAAGAGGCATAAAATCCGATTTTATATTCAATTAAAAAAACAATATATGAACAGACATACGCATAGGAAGAATAAAAAAAGGTGGCAAACATGTGTAGAATACCAAAATCTCGTGCTTGTAAATTCACACAGCGCGTGTGGCGTAACCGCCGGACAAACTTCACGATCGGAGAAAAGGGGGTCCCACACCTCCCCGAAACCCCCTTTTTTTTTCCTCTGCGGTTTCGGCCCTTTTCCGATCTGTGAAGATTGTAGGGCTAGCTCCTTCGACGGTTTTCTTCACTCTTTAATCTTCGCCGGAAAATTTAATCAGAAAATTGGGAAGCGCGTAATTCTCTCCATTGGAGCAGAACAACGGCGGCGGCGAGAGAATGGGGAAAGAAAAGAAGTAGAAAAATCAGAGGTCAATGCTCCGTAGGGCTAAAATGGGAAAATGGGAAATGCACACATTTCCCGGAGAAGTGGGGAACATGTGTTCAATGGTCAATGTTTGGTCAAGGCCGGTGAGAGAGTGCCTAAATGACTAATTTACCCTCCTTTATGGAGTGTTGAGTGTTGACCGCATATGTATATATGTATATTTGTGAATCCATTTATTAGCTTAAATAAGGTACTTTTACAAACTGAAAAAAAATATTTAATACCAATATTTAATACAAATTTTAAATGACATATTTACTATAATTTAATTAATACAACTAACGTTGATGGAATTCAAGATTTTTAATAACAAATCTTTACGTTTTCTTTTATTGATTTAAATTATTTAAACGATCTTTCTTGTTTTCCAAATGATTAGAAAACAAAGATTATATATAAAACAAAAAAAAAAATCCATTTTTTATGCAATTTTAAAAATAGTTGTACTACATATACTATATGCATGAATTTTTTCTCATGTGTACTTAATAATCACAGTTTGCTTTCCTGCATGATCATAACCAAAATTTCCAAATCTTTATATATATATATATATATATATATATATATATATATATATATATATATCTTATAAATGTGTAGGAAAATTTCTACAGTGCTTCCCAATATATTTTCCACTTTTTTAATTCAGTTTCACCCCTAAACGACGCCGTATTTTGTTTTCTTTAATTTTCCATTTTCACGTGCAAATTCAATTTAATTTAGAATTTAATTTAATACCTTATATTTGGTTCGACTCACTTTTTTTTTTTTTTTCTTTCTTTCCTCTATTTTTTGTCCAACAAAATCAGGGCCCACAACACTAATTTGCTTTTCTTCTCATTTTGCTGAGAGCTAATTATTTCCTACCAAATCGGGGGGCCTACATGGATTTATGCTTTTATTTCAATTACAAAATTTTGTTACATAAAATTTGTTATATTCATTGAAAATAAAGCTTATAAGAATTAGTTTGAAGAATTAATATCTTCATTTTATGTTTTTAATACATTATTATGTTTTAGTATATTATCTAAATGTTTTAGGAATAAATATCTTCACTTTTGTATATTATTAAATTCTTTTTCAATTAACTCAAACTTATTAAGTTTGAAGTAATATCTAAAAAGTTAGTATTTTCACTTAATTAATGAAATAACTATTCCAAATGATTAATTTATGACCTTAATTCAATTTCATCTTTAGTAAGCCAATGTTTATGTTTAAATTTAAAAAAAAACATGGTCTCTTAAATTTAAATGAACGTAGTTATTTTTCCTTTAAACAATAAAATAATTAATTTATTTTACATTTTAAATTAACTTTGTTATTTTAATATTTATTTTTTACACATATTTTTAAAATATTATAAATAGCAACAATAAAAAATTTAATGCCACGTTTTTTAAAAAAATCCTCACTTATCAAAATAGTTATATAATTTATACTATTTCTTATATTAATATATTTATGTTGAAGCTCAAATGTGAATTTATATTGTTTTGTTAAAAATATTATTTCTTCTTTTCCACTTTCATTATGACGGTAAACATCGATTTTTCATCTTCTTATTTTGTGTTATTAGTAAAATGTCAGTTACCTCTATGGTTTTTATCTTCTTAATTCAGCTTGTGCCAAGCAAGCATAAACTAAATTATTTTTTTGATACATACATTGTATATGACTTTAAACAAAACTTTTAAACAAATTAATCATTTATGTTTTTGTTGCACTTTTAGAAAATTATATTGCAGCTATTTATATATGGAAACAAATATTTGGGTGTTTATTTCAGTTTTATGTTGAACATTTGCAAATCTCTGATACACCCACGACATCTAGTTGTATCGATCACGGACATTTAACTTAAGTGAATAATGTATTATCATTTAAATTAAAATCGTCATATGTTACGTTGGAGGAATCTCGTTTGGATTGTGGACAACTTCAGAAAGAACTTCGAACTAAATCGTCTCAAGGAATAGTTGATTCATTGGGTATCTATATATGGAGAAAATGACTTCGCAAACGTTGGGAATTTTTTTTTGCAATTATGTATTTGTTCTACGAAGCTTTTTGGTAAAGGTAAACTAAGTCGTACAATGCAATTATGTATTTGTTCTCAGTTTCGATATTTCAACTATTTTGGCTAAATTTTTGTTACATTTTTTTTCATGAGCCAATGCCAGTTGAAGATGAATATTGCATTTCAAAAAAACAAAATGTAAATGTACGTCTATCAGCATCTAAGTTGACTTCACTATGCTCCTCTTCTCAGCCTGCAAATAAATAAAAATATAATAATCTGTATTTAAAGTAATTAACAAAATAATAAAATAAAATAAAAAACATCCCATAGTTTAACCCTAAAGAAAAAAAAAATATATATATATATACCTGTTCACGGCGGCGGGCCGCCGGATTCCTCCGCGCGTTGCGTTCAAGAATGTCTCGGAGGCGGCGTTTGGCTATGTTCTATATACAAAATCAACCCTAAATATATTATTAAAAAAAAATTAAATAAAAAAAAAAAGAATGTCTCGGAGGCGGCGTTTGGCTATGTTCTATATACAAAATCAACCCTAAATATATTATTAAAAAAAAATTAAATAAAAAAAAAAAAGAAAAAAAAACATACCATGAGAATGTTATTTTCTTTAAGCAGAGCGAGCAGGTCCGCTACGGTATGGGTCTTATCAGGAGAAACAGTGATAAATCCAGTGGACCGGTCCACGTGGAGCTCATTAGGCAAGTCAGCCCAAAGTTCCAGAAATTTCGCCACGTCATCGGCACTCACGAAGTCGCCGGAATCGCGTCGGCGCTTGACCCTTTTCCAGGTATAGTAAAGAAAAGTACACCCAACGGCCCCGGCGGCCAACAATAGTATCGCCCTTTTGTTAACGACTCCTCCACTCGCCGTCGTCACGGCTCCGGCCGCGCCACCGAGTCCAGTGGTAGAAGACGCCGCCTTCACAACTGCTCCTGCAGGAACCGACGTCGAAGTCGACGACGCCACCCCAGCAACAGTCTCAGTCACCACCTGACCATCAACTCCGGTGGTGGATGCCGCCCTTCCCGCCACGCCGCCGCCAACTCCAACCCTCGCCACCGCCGCCTCCACAGCGCCTACAATTCTCTTCTCCATCTGTTGCAGAGCTATATCCGAATTCCGATAGGCGATTAGCGCCAATACGCCCACAGTAATTCCTCCGACTACTTTCATCCCTCGGAAAAAAAGATCAATTTTTTGACCACTCTCCATATATATATATATATATATATATATATATATATATATATATATATATATATATATATATATATATATAAATATATATATCCTACTAATATAACTAATTGGGCCGACCCAATGGGCCCCCAATTTATATAATAATTGGGCCCAATTATACCCGTTACGCGAGAGCCCAAACGCCTTCAAAATAAGGCTTGTGCCCAACAAAGTAAACTCAACCCAATCAACGACATATAAATAAATGTTTTTATTCATTTGTTAAGGTACGTTCTATTTATTCCCAAGTATCCTAGAGTGCATATTCTCTCTACCATCTCCACGATCCGTACATCTAACTTGAGCGTCGGAGGGATTTCCGCCGGGATCATCAAATTGTGAAGCTACTGATCAACTTTGCTCTCCTAGTTCATTTACTACACTACCCCAGGTGATCTAAATAATTAACATCATCACATACTGTTAGAATCCCATGGATTCTAATTATACGAGAATTAAGGAAACTTGTGCCACAAGTTTGCATATACCGTGAGCTAAAGAAGGGAAGAGTCCTTGTAGCTTTTAATTCTTTTAATTTGTCATTAATTGATTTATAATAGGAATTATTGTTCTAAAGAGTTTCCTTGTATTGAAAATATTGTTTCCTACGTAATTAAGAGTTTCCTAACCCTAATGGACTCTATTTTCCTTGTAGGATTCTTATCACCCGTAGATGTATAAACACAGCAGAACGGCGCCTCATACTCTACGCCTTTTGTTGGAGAAGAAAAATTATATTTTTCTGCTCCCGGAACGTCTTTGATCGAGAGAAGTTTTTCACAGAAAATATTTTTCCTCTCGTTTTTTATTGTTCCATCGTGATACGTGATTTTCATAGAAAATATATCGGCTTCAAGGCTTTGTGGTGAAGACACCAAGATTCAAGGAGTATCACAAGTTTGCTTCTTCTATATAAAAAGAAGATCGGTTCTTCGGGAGAGGGGCTTAAACAGATCTCGGGAGGAGATCGATCCGCCGACTGAGGGATTCAGCGTTGAAGGGAGTTCAACCGTGCGGAGCAAGGGACGTGCTGCAAATTGAAGATTTATAATTCAGCGTAGTATACGAGAACGGCGTCAACAAAGAGGGAGTCTTTGTATTTTGATTAAGTCCTATTATTGTATTCGTAAAACTAAAAATTAGTAAATTTTATTTGCAGGTCCCCGTGGATGTAGGGTACAATTGTATCCGAACCACATTAAAATTTGTGTCTCGTTTATTTCTGTTTTTACGAACTGCTTCACGAACTGTTGCAACACACTTCACGCAACAGTAACGAAAAACTGAATCTGACACAAATAATTTATATCTGCACGAAATAAATTCTAACACATACTATTTCAGATATATCTATCTTCAATATGGGGTTCCTACAATTTTTAGCCCCGAGAACCTGCTATCACTAATTTATAAGAAGGTACAAAATTACTACATTACTTGTACAAAATCTTGTTCATATATATTTATGTACACATGCATTTTCTAGTTTTATTGAAGATTCCCTAAGTTCCGTTTTTTTTTTTTGATCAGTTATTAGTCAGCTCTGAACGTAGCGAGAAACACAATCGACCCTCACTCAATCGAACATTTTATCTTGAGAAAACCACAAGATTCTCTAGTCGTACGTATTCACAATTATTATTATTATTATTATTATTATTATTATTATTATTATTATTATTTATTATAGATATATCTTGTAATTTTGGCATGTAATTTTGTGTAGGTTAGGGTTTCCTACATGTAACTATATATATGAGTAATATACAACTCTCTTTCTCTTTATCCAACTCTATTCTTCCTATAGTATGTAATTAGTACAATCCGACTCACTCAATGGAACATTTTATCTTGAGAAAACCACAAGATTCGCTAGTCGTACGTAATTAGCACAGTCCGACGTAACATATGTTTAAACATACAATTCTTGCATGGATATTAATTAATTAGCACAATCCGACGTAACATATATAAAATCTCGTTAATTTATTTCAGATTATTGACAAAGAAGACAATAATAACAAGGGTTAAATTAAATACAAATTGCACCCGGCCCACATGTACTATAAAATGCGACAAAGTGGCACTTCAAGTAATGGTCAACCCTCAAGTCTCTAACACCGTTAGTTTATGTAGCGTAGTTACCATTTTATCCTTACATTTATATGATATAAGTAGGCATTTTTTTAATTCATTACTTGGGCAATTTTTATACTCTATTATGTAGCACTCGGTTGCATCTACAAGTGGTTCTAGAAAAATATGTCATGTAGTGTTTGGACGTAAAAAATAAAATGTGTAAATTTTGAGAATTAGAACTACATGAAGCATTTTAAATCGAGATTATTTTGGCTAAAAATAAAATTATAAAATTTTAAGAAATTAAAAATATTTTTAAAATATTATCCAGAAGAAAGAGATTAAATTTTGAGCGGATCAACCGATATTTAATATAAATCGGATGCCACTATTTTTTTGACACGTGGCACTCTTAAGTCATAACTCTTGATAAATTACGCTATTATAATTAGGGTTAGAGGGTTACGACTTACGGGTTATGCTGGGGTTTTCTTTTTTCTTTTTCTTTTTTTTCCAATTATTAGAATCCTAATTATATTTTTATTTAAACTATCCACGTGTCAATCATTCTATGCATCCGATTTTTCTATTAAAACAGACCATCCGGTCTAAATTTGCACCCTTAAAGAAATTCATAAGTTTTGGGTGAAATGTTTAGGCTAGGTACAAAAATTGCCAAAATCATAAATTGAAAAGGAAATTATAAATAATCTTCAGAAGATAATCTTTTTTTCTAATAATTTGGGTGAAATGTTTACTTTGTGGAAAATAAAATTAGGGAAGAAATAAAAAAAAAAAATATGTGATAGGATTAGGGTGCAATATGTATTTAACCTTAATAATAATAAAAAACAAATCATGATTCACGAAACACACCCGATCCAAACATCACATTCGTAAGTAGTTATGTTATATTTGTGTTTCATGCAATTAATTAATATTAACTATTTTTTTATATATAATTAAAAGTTAAAACAGGTTACCAATATTTAATTGTACTAATTTGTAGTTGTGATGAACTAATGCATACATCTTAATTTTTTTTGTTCTTTTTCAGAAATCTAATTGATGTTGACAACTTTTCAAAGATAATTTTGCAAACTAACAACTTAAATGAAATCAAACACAAACAATTAAAGCTACAATAACGAAAAGAATAAAAATAGTATTCAAGTATTAAAGTTCAAATTTAAATATTTTAAATAAGTAAAGAATAAGAACTAAATAATCATTGTCTACACAGCAACTTGTAGATAAATATCCACAGAAAGGGTGCAACAGCCAGCAAGACTTTTGAATGAAGGGCCCCGAGTTGTACTTGAAGATGTAAACCAATGAAAAACTGCAAATACGAAAATTTTAAGATCAAAATCCGTAAATTTTCAACATATTAAAAAACATAGCAAATTACGGAAAAAACCTTAAACATACTACTTACGCTTTCCAGAATCGTGTATTACTGCATCAGACCTGTCTAATAGGCGCATATAAAATTCCGCCTTAACTTTTTGATGAGTAGCAAAAGTATGAGCACTAACACACACCAGATGTATTTTCACTGCATTGTCCTTTGAACTCAAGTCGCCCCCATTTGGATATAGCTCTATTTTCCTAAGTTAACAAATATAAGTATGAACCATAATGAGAAATTAAAGACAAGTTTGGCCATTAGGGAAAAAGAAAAGCAAAATGGAAAGGTAGTGATAGGTCGATGAGATGCTACAGCTGGTGTAACACACCGGGTGGTTTTGATCCATAAATCTATATAAATAATCATTCACGAAGCACACATACACATAGATGCGTGTGTTGTTATATGTAGATTAATGGTTCCAGATCGCCCGGTGTATTTCACTAGCTGGTGTAGCATCTGCGAAACCGTAATAATATACCAATTGAAACCCCAAATATTGAATTCTTCAGAAGTCCAAACGTTTTCCAATTTTAAGAATTCTGAAATCTCCCAATCGCGTACAAATATTGACGGTCGGAGCACATTCACATTCTCAACGACTCGTTGTCTTTTGAGGACAAAAACTTCAGCACCAAGCACCAGATTGTCATCAACAAGATATCCATTTGATCTATCTACTAGTTCATTTGTAGAGATGAATTTTGGAAATCCCCATTTGCACTTTGCTCCGTTAAAACGACGCTTTACTCGACAACAAAAATATTTGTCCAAGATCTGATTATGGAGAAAGATAGTGAAGATGGCATCGAACTCCCAATCAATAGGCAAAGAACTAGTGTTTGTCATGGCCAAGTATACAGAAACATATTTGTTGTTCCTTTCTTTGCCATAAGGATAAATTATGAGTTTCCTGTGAGCGGTCATAAATTAGAACACCATAAGTTAAAAAGTTAACTCTATAAAGAATCGATATAACTGATTAGCAACATACCATTTATGATCTCCGGCTTCAAATTCCCTAGTTTCCAATTTATCAACCGGATGCAGTAAACAAAAGGTGTAAGATTTAATTTTGGTTATAAAATGCAGAGGGGAACCGTCTCTTGTTTCCACAATCAATTCTAATGAAACCAAACAAAACAATTATCATTATATTAACTTTAAGGAAAATGTAAAATTGCAAAAACACATATTGATTGGTCACGAACCCTCACCATCATCATCATCGGCCTCAGTCGCTGTCGATCTTGCTCGAACGTGTTCCGTTACTCTTTCTGAAACGAGTGGCTTTTTCTTATGTTCGTCGAGTAACGTGTAACAAATCCAAGTGCCTACCGCACAACCCAGCAAACTAGTCACCAAAGGATTCAGAAAAAGCTTCATGATTTTAGTTTTTTTCCTTTTGGCACGAAGATAATTAAGTAAAACCCTAGAATCTTATATATATATATATATATATATATATATATATATAATAAATTAAAAAGTAAAACCCTAGAAGTACGCTTAAATATATAGCAACTAAGAGTAAAAAAAAATCTTAATTCAAACTTCATATATTTAAATTTTCTTCCTTTTAAATTTTCTTCCTTTTTGCAAATCCTGTGCATTGCATACTTTTTCAATTTTTATATTTTCATATGTATTTAATTTTATTTGCTTAATTTTGTTATTATTTCCAATTTCAAATAAAATTTAGTATCAAATTCTTGAGCGACAATGAACTTGCTGATAAGTATACACCTTGCTTGCATACAAGCATATTACAAGACATACAAACCTTAATCACACTCTTGTCTTGGCAGTTTATTTTAGAGCATAATTAGCCTAACCAAAGTTACAAAATACATACAAATTGTGTACCACATGACTTGAGTGTATAAATATATCTTTAAACAAGGACAAGAGACCACCTCTTTGATTGCGAAAGAGCAATGTAGGAACTAAGACGAAGCTGCTACTTTGTTTCCCGGCAGCCATGAAAGTACAGCTTGTTGTACTGTTTGAAACAGCTTCGAGTAGTTGGATGTTTCTTCTCCGAAGAGAGAATTGATCAAGTTCATTTTCACCTTTCGAATCTGTCCAACGGATGATTCACTACTGCATGCAGATGGCTTCGCAGTTCCTTTATATGCCTTGCAGATATAGCTTACGAAGTTTCGATAATCCTACAGTAGATTAAGACATTTCAGGTCGAAGATGCACTTTTTAGGATATTCTCTTTCATAGTATTTGTAAGGGAAAGAGAGAGAGAGACGATATATACTTACATCATAAAGTGGTTCACCGTCTACAACTACCCACGGTACGTATTTATGAGGTGGTTCGAGTGCTTGCGTGTCAGCGGCGTATCCTAGTATAAGCTGCATTACCGTTTTAATTAATCACATTACGTTACTTTACAAATTGCCAAATCAAGAAAAAGAAAATACATGTGTGCATAGCAAGCATGTAGGAACAATAGGATTCCTCGCATGTCGACATGTCAATGCATATTCAGACCAGAAAAAAAAACATGAAATAGAGTTCTTTCGTTCAAGTTTAACTTTCTTAATTTTAAAATTCTTCAATGAACAAATTCATTGTCAATAGCTGTCTGCCGATAACTGGCCCCTACTAAATAAATTAGAATATAGTAAAAAGATAAGTTGCAACATTGTCATTAGTTAATATATATTGTCTTTCAAGTCATTAATTAACAATCCTCGCGACCAAAACACACATAGGATTGTATTAGATATGGAGTCCTCAAAAAGATAGGCTTAACCGGAATCAGCCTAGCAGCTTTTTTCTACCGACTTTTTCTGTCGTGGCAGCTTCTTGGAATATCGAATTATTTTCTTTAAACTTTCAAAAGTGACTTCATAAGTAGTTATAAATTGAAGTTCTCAACCACAAAAGAAGAAATGGAGTAAACAATTTTGTTTAAAAAGCCAATTTTCTTCTACTTCCGAATTCATTTTGACCTTATCAAATTAGATGCATGCAGTAGTTTAGAACTATCGGAAAACGAAGCAAATAGCAGACTTGGATAAGAGCATAGTGAAATAGTTCCCAGTATAACCTAAATATGTAGAGCTGCAGATGGAATTCGGAATATCCATGAGAGTTTACTTCAAAAAACTAATTCAAGATCTGAAAAAAGTCCTTTAGAAATCAAAATGCTCGGCGTTAACTGCTTTCGTACAATTGAATTATTAATCGGTATTATGTACTTCATACCATATAAAATAAAACGAAGAAACTTAACATTTGCAAAAAGAACATATCCGTCACACAGTAAAAGCTACGGAACGAACATAAACAATTAGTCAGAAAAACTAACCTCTTTTCCACGTTCACTGTTATAACAAGCAGCCACAGGAGAGGGATCCAAACCCAATTTATCGAAACATGTTTCCCAATAGGTATAATTGTGCTCGTACACAAGACTTTCCACACAGTATACAAAAGGGAAATAAGTATTCTGCATCAGGAGTTTGACGGATCAATATTATTCTTCAATGAAAACATCAGCTACGAGAAACAAATATTCTACAACCAAATTCTTCTCAACGAACGGCAAGTATAATAAATAAGGACGCCGATTAATAAGCGAATTTTCATCACGATCAAATCGAACATAATTTCAAATTCCAAATCGAAAAAAAGCAATACTAACCAAATCGGGCCAGGCATCAATTGCACATGCCTCCACAGTGTTCAGTATGCACTCCCATTCGCCGTGCTGCAATCAGAAATGACGTAATTAGTTGCGCGTATTCCTTAAAAATAATACAATCACATGTTTCTTCAGTCAGATTATATAATTTTCCAGAAAATGCTTGTTAATAAGCTTCACAATATAATCTGAATGAATCTAAATTTCCTTATGCCGGAAAACAACCGTTGACCAAATTTTCGATTAATAATATAATTAGAGAAAAAAAAATTAAGAAACCAAACAAGGAATTAGAGACTGCAATAATGAAAATTAAAAAAAAATTTAAAAAAATGAATGAATGAATGAAGAGGACGAACAAATACCTGGCAAGTGATGGTGCCGTTAGGTTTGATTTTAGCGTTGCCGTAAGGGACGAGTTTGAAATCGGTGATTGAAAGGAGATCGGAATCGAAGAGCTTGCCTAGATAGTTGACGATGAGGTTGGAGCAGTACGGGCACAGAGTCTCGTAATAGATCTCGAAGCTCACCTTATCGCCGCCGTCAGCGGCGGCGACGGCGGGGGAGGCAGAAGAGTAAGAGATGATCGACAGAATCAAGAGTAGTCGAAGAGCTCCCATGGCTGATTCCCACTGCTCTGTTTCTGCTGACGACTTGTATTTGGATCAAGTGCTCGCGGTTCTCCTGTGTGTATGGAGAATTAGCTTTTCATTCTTTTTTTTTTTTTTTTTTTCTTTTTTGTGGTTGGAAATAAATAATACTACTATTTTTTTCTTTGTTATAAAATGGTTTAATTTAGTCAAACTGTCCCTTAATTTTTTTGATATATTAGTTCTTTAAGCTCAATTTTTACAAGTTTCCAAATATAAAAAAAATAAAAAATATAGTGTATATAGAGTATCTAATAAACAATCGATTTTCTGATAAAAGTAAGAGGGTGTTTGGTTAAACTTATAATTTAAGAACTTACGAGCTCTTTTAAGCTTTTTGGTAAAAAAAAAAAAAAATTTAAATTAAAAAATAAGCTGGTGGAGCACTCATTATCCAAAATGATTTAAAAATAACAATTTATCTTTTAGTCGGTAAAAAAAGTTCAGTCAAACAGGCCCTCAATAAATAGTGGATTATATTGATTTTATATGCATATTAATATCTACAAATAGTAGATATATTCGTAGTTCATATAAATTATTTTATTAACATCTTACTCAAAACTATGTACCTGGACGGATTTGTGGAGCCATTCATTCTGATAGAAAACAAAAAATCAATAACTTTTACACTTACATATTTTATTCCATTGTCTGATATGCAATTGTTTGCAAAATAAAAGATTAAATTTAATCGAGCAGTATCAAAGAATTCAAGAAAGGTACCCTTTGCTCCTCAAACTATCAACAGAATCTTTAATAATTTGCTCCATAGGTATAAATTCCAGACCCAAATCAATCAGCTTCTTTGCTGCATTTTTAGTCCTTAGTAATCCAGGTTGAGTATCCTTAGGTAACCTACACACATATACCATTTAATCACGTAAAATATTAGAATCGATCGAAACACAAGATTGATTCAACACGATGTAATTAAGAATGTATTCAGATTTTATAGACTTACGTAGGGATATTGTACTCGGGGTAAAGTTGTGCAACTTTAGCAGCGAAATCACCGTAATGAGAAATAGCTTCGACGCACAAGTGCCTTCCGGTTGCTGATTTGTTTTCGTATACGAGTATGTGTGCAAGAGCCACATCTTTCACATGCACAGATCCCATGAAGAAATCTGCGTACTCTTCCGTGCAGCCTATATCCAAAAGATAAGTTCACAATTTGAGGAAAATATAGATCTTCAGACAACAGGTTTACAACGGAAACCGAACCCGAAACCGAAAACCCGATATATATATATATATATATATATATATATATATATATATATATATATATATATATAGAGAGAGAGAGAGAGAGAGAGAGAGATAAAATCTACGGTTATAAGAACATACGACAAAGATCAGAAGAAACTAGTTTATTTTTATTCGTTATTACGGTGATGAAATATTATCATGTGTCATGTAATGGTGGATAAAGCTTTCCAAAAAAAAATCCAAGGCAACTCGAAATTGATTATCGAAAACAATAAAATGAAATCATAAATGATATAGAAGTAGCATAAGAAACTTGAATGTGTTGCATATATCGAATATTGAATGTATAAGTGTGAACACTTTCTAATTTCACATTTATGTGATGAAAATCATTACTAAATTTTGTATAATGTCAAAAAAAAAAAAAAAAAAAAAAACGGATTACCCTGAATAAGGCGAAGAATCATCAACATGCTTGCATTTAGGGCTGGAGGAATAATCGGACCCATCACCGTACCCGGATTCACCACAACGATATCCAAACCGTTTTCCTCTGCAAATTTCCATGCAGCTTTTTCGGCCATGGTTTTCGAAAGTGGATACCAAACCTAAGAAAATATCCCAATTCAACTATCAAGAAGTAGAATAGAAGCTGGCAACGTAAATAGTATTATCGATATCCGAAAATCCCTTTTACAGTAGATCGACAATCTTTCCCTAATTCCTCGCCATTTGTTATCTACTAACGTATATCTCTCAAGCTTGGTGTAATACTTTCTAGTTTACTATCTTCTCCCTCTGTTCTGATGAATCAGTAAAAACTCTGTATTCATAACATATATATATACTGTCGATACGATGAGATTCAAGGTTATACCAGAGCTATCTAATTAGGATAGACAACCAAACATCATTCTCAAGTAAAAATCTTCATTCTTGAATTTTAGAGACAAGTCTAAGGCGTCGTTTGGTTGCCAAGATAAGATTAGCCAAGATATGATTAGATAATCTAATGTAACCCAATTATGTTATTGGACCTTCGATGAACTAACTAAAAACATGCCTAGAAAGCTAGATAAGTTATGATAACACAATACTTGGGGATTGACCCGGCAAGTTATTGGGATACCAAAAATCAAACAAAGTCCTATTATTTAGTTAATCATGGTTAATCTCCCCAACCAAACGAGGCCTAAGAATATATTTTTATCACCAAGTAAATCAATCATATATGTATGAGAGAGAGAGAGAGAGAGAGAGAGAGAGAGAGAGAGAGAGAGACCCCTTTGTTCCTGCAGTAATCCTCATCAGCCCAGCAATCTTCATTCTTAACAACATCGGAGGGCCAATTAGGGCTGGGTACTATTGCCGATATTGAAGACGTGACAACCACGCGCCGAACTCCAGATTCTTTGGCCGCCGTGAGTACATTAATCGTGCCCTTAATTGCCGGATCCAATAGCTCGCCCTAATATTCTCACAGAGTGAAAACAAATTATTTTAGCAAATTGCTGAATTCAATTTCATTTTGAGGAGTGATGTAACAGTTTAGAAAATCGTTCACCTCGGGATCGCGAACTTCATCGACGATGCAGGGGGAAGCCAGGTGGAATACGCCGGCGGAGCCGGCCACGGCGGCGACAATGGAGCCGTAGTTCAGCAGATCCATTTGGAAAAGACGGAGGCGGGATTCAGCTCCTTCCATGGCTTTCAAGTGCTTCGTTTCTCTCTCATCCGCTACAAAAATCGAGAAATTAAAGAAGAAAATGAAACCTAATTAGTGACAAGTAAGAGAGGGAAATGTGGACGGAGAGGAGGCAGAGTGTGAAGGGGAACCGAGATCTTTGACGGTGGCGTGGACGGTGTAGCCGCGGCGGAGAAGGAGCTGAACGATCCATCCGCCAATGTAGCCGCTGCCACCTGTCACACACACCACTTCTCCTTGTTTGTTCGCCATTGTTGGACTTTGGACAAGCTCGAGAAACACAGTACGAAGTGGGTATCGTTTCAATTCTACTGAATAATTTCAGTTTTTTCTTATTTTTCGTCAATTTCAGTTGCCACCCCTGTACTATTGTATATCTTACATTTACCTCCCTCATACAATCTAAATCGTCACTTACCCCCTTGTACTATTGGAACCTTCAATTACCCCCCCTAAACTATATAGAGTAAACTGCAAATACTACCCCTGTGTTATCTCGAAATAGCAAAAACCCCCCTGTGATAAATAAACTAGCAAAAACCCCCCTGTGAAATTTAGTCAAAGGCAGAATCCCCCCTAGCTGATTTTTTAGACTTGAAATGACAAAATTGTCCCTCAAAATGTATTTATATATATACATATTATATGTATATTTATTCTTTTTAATTTATTTGTTTAGAAATTAAACAAATAGTAAACAACTAAATTGATTATTTTTTAAATAAAATAATTAAAATATTTATAAAATATAAGAATTTATTAATTGCAAGACTTCCGGGGTATTTGGGTCTTTTCATATCAAGTCAACCCTCAAATAGTTCCATAGGGGGGTTTTTGCTATTTAAATAATTTCACAGGGGAGGTTTTTGCTAGTTTATTTATCACAAGGGGGTTTTTGCTATTTCAAGATTATACAGGGGTAGTTTTTGCAGTTTACTCAAACTATATATTTTGACCAGTTGTACCTTTCTTAACTAATTTCTCCTATTTTTAGCTGCAAGTTTTTTTTTTCTAATTTTTTATTTTTTTTACAAAATTAATATTTTCAATTTTATTAGAAAAAAACTACTTTATTTTATAAATTGCTCATTTGTTTTAATTTATTTTTCTCAATTAATTTGATAATCCCATTTTATATAAAGTATTTCTTAGAAAACACGTGTATTTTTTTGCTTGTAAACAATTTTAAAATATCAAAATCAAAAGCAATAAATACAATACAGAGAGGTTTATGCTAATAAAAATAATACGAGGGACTTTTATTAGAAATTCAAAATAGCACAAGGGGGGTTTTTGCAAATTAACTCCCTCCTTTTTGGTTGAAATTCTAAATGAAAAAAAAAAGGACTAAACAAATAATAATCTCACAAAAGATCCAACAAACTTCTCAAAATGCAAAAGAATTAAGGAAAAAAATCAAAACTTGTCTGCTAATCAAACAAACATGGAACTAATACACACAGATTGATATCAAACAACAGAATCCTTTGATTCTTTATCTTGAAGATGGCTGGCTAGAAGTGGAGTTGTATCTCTCTCTTTCATCTAAAAATAATATAAAATAAATAAATATTAGTTAGTCCAAAGTCCAAACTATCAAGAATCCCAGTTTATTATTATTTATTAAGAAAAATTCATGTTTGGGTAATTACAACCACGCCCCCTCAATTTAAATCTTTTTACACGTTGATCCTTGTAGTGTAAAATTTAGTCGAATCTTCTAGATTATGTGGAATGTTCTCAAGTTTGTACTCGTTTTACCCCATTCGAGCTCCACGTTTTGAAACAAGATGATCATAAGATGTGTCTCTTGGCTTGTAAATGTCATATTATGATGCATCAGAAACTGCATTTTTGCACAAAACGAGTACAAACTAGAGAACATCCCACGGAATCTAGAAGATTATGTTACCATAAGGGTAAACGTGTAAGAAGATTCATAGTTGAGGGGCATGGCTGTAATTACCCAAATAATAGTGGTTTCTTCGTAATTTGACCTTATCTCAGGGGGTGGCCGTGATTTAACCAAACAAATATATATATGTATATGTGAGTACCTGGGGCATAGTGGAAACGTCGACGATGACTTTACGTTTGGTCTCGTTAGTGCAGAAATACGAGTACATTCCCATTCCAACAATGGCGATAAGTATGCCGACGATGTTTCTTGAAGTGAAAGGGTCATGTAAGAGAGTGTAACCAAATGCAAGAACAAGGCATGTTTTGAGATGCCCAAGTACTTGATATGTAACTGGTGATGTTTTCCCAATCACCAAGAATGTACTAAAATTCACAAACACTGCTATCAAGCATGATAGTACTATAAATCCCTGCATATTAAAAATTTTGTCACAAAAAAATATTAAATATTTTTCATTACATCCCTGTATCATTACCAAATTGCTAAAAAAATTGCATTGTAGGGTTTTTTTTGCTAATATTAATAATACAGGGACTATATTAGCAATTTTATATAATAAAGGGGGCTAAATGCAATAAACATAAATATACGTACCACGACGAGGGGTGAGTACTTGTAGTAGAGAACATTCTGATTGGTCAGAAACTGGTCGACGAAAGGACCGGTCACGAAAAGGATTGCCGACTGAAATGGAGCTGATTGGTATAGTAGTTGAGTCGATGAAACGTTGAGCTTCTTTTGTATTGTGTTTGTAAGCTGAAATTTATTAGTGGAAAAAAATTAAATGAAATTCTAAAGCGTATTTAACAAACGACGATGAATAAACGACGGTTTTACGAATTTAAAAAGTGATTTGTGTATACAATTTGGCCAATGCAAGTTGTTATGATGGCTAAAAGGGAGAGAATTGTTCCGACAAAGTTGAGCTGAAGATCTGTGACGGATGCTATTCCAACTCCAAGTAGCAGAATCGATAGCGAAAATTTTATTTTCTGGCTGCATTTATATACACAATTAAAATAAATAAAAAATTAAAAAAAAAGTCGAAAATATTATGGAATTTCGAGAATCTTGCAATTTTTTTACTGACCTGAATTGTTTGTTAAGGAAGATTGTCTCCAACAGGACAGTGAAGGGTATTATTGCAAGTTTCGTCATCTGAAAAAAAAAGTCGAGTATTTACGATGCGAAAGCAAAATTAAATTAATATTTATTAGTAAAAATCGATGGTTTTTTTAATTTTAATTAACCTGGTAGAAGCCAATGGAGTTAAACCCCAAGCTGAGATTGAGAAGTCCAATGGAAACTCCGTTCAACATACCGAAAAGAATAACCGTCTTCAAATCGATCGGCTTATTTTCGAAGAAATTTAATCGTAACGCCACATGGAGACTGCAGTACGTGACCATCAGGTGCCAACTAGTAAGCGTTGTGGCTGTAAAATTATTTATTAAAAAAAAAAAAGATTACAACACGAAATAGATTATTATTCGAGTCGATTATTAAAATATATAATGATCATCTACTAGTAAGCGTTGGTTCGATATTTCAAGAATCGAGGACCCCTTTTTCTATATGAAGTTAAAATTGTTGATTATATTATAAGATGATTAGTTTTTCAAGATTAAATAAAAAAAATTAAAAAAATGAAGAGATTACGATGGTTTACCAAACTGAAAACCGAGATTACTCATCAGGGCTTTGTTGCAAATGACGATGGAGACCGATGAAGCAACGGAAAGAAATAATGCGCCCATCACACCTAATTGGTAGCCCGAAATCTCTCCCATTGTCTGCGGAAAAATCGAGAGAGAAATGAGTAAAATGAGTATTGCAAATTATAGTATTGCTAATAAGAGGCTAAATTGGAAGTAAACCACTTGTGAAACATGTGATGTAATTGTGTGCTAGGAAAAAAAAAATCAATCTTTTTTAATTAGGAAAAATATAAACTAAATGAGTAAGAACAAAGATATAGTTAGTGGTAGTGATGATCATGCAACGATGGAAATAAAAATCGTAAAATTAAATGCCTTCGTCGCTATGGAAAATAATAATAATAGTAATAACAACGCATAAGCTGATTTTTGTCCGAATTGTTTGTGATAATATTGTTGTTTGTTGTCTAGATGAATATACAGAGTCTCTGTAATGCTAAATAATGTCAAGAAAAAAAAAAGCGCTTACAAGAATGCACGTATACGACGCACGTCGTAATGAAAAACGATAAACTTGCACACCAGCACAAACCGGTCTCAGAGAATCCCGGAAAAGAGGCGGCTCAGCTCAACTGTGGAGAGAGAGAGAGAGAGAGAGAGAGAGAGAGAGAGAGAGAGAGAGAGAGAGAGAGAGAGAGAGAGAGAGAGAGAGAGAGAGAGAGGATTGAATGAGAGAGCAAAAAGAGGAGTGTTTTTTAATGGGAATGATGAGAGAGTGGTTGGTGCTAACTTTGTATTAGCTTTGTCCTTCCACAAACTATAGCTAACGGCCATTTTAAGCAAGGACACCAATCTTTTCTTCATTAATCAATAACCATATTATATATATTTATTTTTTTAATTATTCAGGAATATTAATATATAATTTGTACAATAGCCATTAGCAGCATACTTTTGCTAACTAACATTAGTAATTTAATAAATAAATATTTATTTTTATTTAAGCAAAATTTTAAAATAATAAACTTAGGACAGAAGATAGGAAGGTAGAATGAACACTTCTTTGTGAGTAAGCAAAATGTTGACAACACCACAATATGGACCTCTATTTGGTGAGAGGTAAGGACTTTTTTTTTATTTTATCACGAAAATGGCATTTAACTTATGTCACTATATGTTTTTACACCACGCGCCTCTGTCATTATATCTTAATGATTATGGGTAAATTAGTCTTTTCCATCATGTTTTTTTTTTTTTTTTAATTTATACACTGGGTTGAAATTGGAGGTGTTAGATGCTACACCTGGTTATTTACGTACAAACAAAGCATGAAGATTTGCGAAAACGACAGACTATGTAATAATACTATAATACTAATGTGTCCATCGGCATACATAAAGCATGAAGATTTGCGAAAACAACAAATTATGTAATAATACTAATGTGTCCATCGGCATACATAATATAACTAAATAGAACCTATTTCTACTTCTGCACACAAAAAACGGAACTTATCTTTTCAGTATCGACCATGTCTTTTTTACGCTACCGGTAACTCAGCTATCCTAGAGCCGATATAAGCTGAAAAGGGGATATAACTCGGAATAAAAGAATCGGACTATGAAACGCCACTCGGGGGGAGATAGGAAGGAAAGCGAGAAGGAAAAAATTAAAGCAATTTACAAGATTAGACGAGATAAGATCATAGTTTAAGGATTCTGACGCCCCAAAAAAAACGCCTTGTCTGCATTTGAGAGTCGGTCCTGAAAAAGCGCCCACTCGTTTTTGCATCTATCTCGTACCTACAAATAAAAGAAAATATGAGCTCAGACATTTTTTTATTATACGAGTGGAGATGAACAGACATTAAACCAAAAACAGCATACAGAAAACTTCAGCCTCGTTCGGTTACATGTAAAGAATTAGTTTTGATTAGATTCAATTCGGTTCCTTGACAATATCCCTATCGTTTTAGCTTCTTAAATAAGTTGATATTACTGATCAGCACATAGTAAATTATCGACATAACTCTTCCTAGGAAAGCCAAAATCACATGTTTCAGAAGCTAGAAACAGATCATATAAAATATTGGCAATTAACAAAGCGGGGGTGTGGGTGTGGGTCGTTTGAGAATTCCCATGTTGCCATTCAATTGTGAATCGGCAACAAATATAGCTCTACCAAGTTATACAGTAAGGGTGAGAGACCAGAGTATCACATCATTCACGCGAATATAGACATAGTTATGGATATGTATATATACTTACCCCTTGCCATGGTGCTTTCCCCTTGTCGGTCTCGCCCTGAATAACAAAACACAAGAACAAGCATGTAACGAAAGAAACTTGAATAAAAATAATGTAATATGATAGTTCTAGAGTAAGGCTGCTAATTCTGTAATATGAAGTATCCAAGTGTAGCAAGGATAGACGTATTTAAAAGATAAACATTAGCAGCGTAAAAAAGATATGCACCCATACTCATCGATAGACCCTTTTTTACATATACATTTACATAATTGTATACAGGCATAAGTATGTGTATATGAATATATGGATACACATTTATGCAGAGGGAGGAATCAGATCTAAGAAACTATACCCGGGCCAAGAATGCGTCAAACATGTACAGAAATAAGAAGAATAAACGAAAACAATGATTATGCAAGAATAATAGGGGGTCGTTGAATGTCTGACCTGACTTCCAAGCGATGGAATCACTTGATGCACAATCCATTGGGAATCAACCACCCCAATTTTTTCATGTGCAGGCTGCATGGGCAAATACAAGTTATTATAAGGTTTTGAGGCTAAGGGCCACCAAAGCCCTTCAAGAATTAGCTTGCGCAACATAGTCTAAAGTTGGAATAAAACGTTGCCACTTGCCAATTACTCTCGTTGTATCTATTGAGTCTGATAAACACATGATTCTTTTCTTGCTTTTATGTATTTATTTTCCTCCTTTAAATTCAAGTATTATTCACACACACACACACACATATAGATGTGTGTGTGTGTGTGTATATATATATATATATATATATATATATATATATATATATATATATAGAGAGAGAGAGAGAGAGAGAGAGAGAGAGAGAGAGAGAGAGAATCACTAACCTCCACGCATCTTCTTAATGCAAAATCTAATCCCCATCCATGAACCAAATCGTTCTGCAAACACATGATAGACAAGGAAAGCAATTTCAATCATGGAAAGCACCGAAAGTGAACAGATTCAATCCATAAGAAAAGAGAGCAGGGTTAAAGCCAATCGCGCAGACCCAAAAAGCCCATCGTTACCTGAATCATATGCCAAACACATCTCCAAGCTTCACGAGAGAATACTGGAGCCATAATTTCCACAAAGCTGAACATGAGCACAAAGAGAAATAAAGATTATAATAGATTTTTGAAAATATTTTGAGGGAAAATAGACAAGCAAAAAATATTGCAGGTCTAGAGAAAAAAATCACTACTTCTGTGAAAAAATAGTCACGATCGTGAAAGACCCGAGTGTGTCTGGGCCAATGAGCATTGAGGTCTTATTGTAAAGCTTACTATAATTATGACACTCCAGATAACTATTCAATCTGACTCGACCTTTATTTTCAGTATCTATCTTAATTTTTCATAGATTTACTACAAAAAAGGTTCTAATTTGTGATCTTCGAACTGGATGCCGTCAAATCACATGAAGGTTTCTCCTATCCTTCTCAATGGACATCATTTCCAAGCACTACTTAATAACCAATAATCGACTCAACTGTCGATATCCCAAACGCAGCTGATTACTTAGCATTAAGTTAATCATATGTGCCTGTAATACATGTCTACATAAATGCTAAATCACACAGGTACATTATATAGTGAGAGAGATAGAGAGCATACGCTGCACATGGAGGCAAATGTGGGTCGCTGCACCAGCCAGGTTTCTCCTCTGTGTCCCTGTTATCAATATCCATACATCTATAGGTCAGAAATGTGGACAGATACGAGGAAAAGGGCGATTAAGAAACCAGTAAACCTACTTGTGAACTTCTCTGTCACCTCGTCTCTTTGTCATTTGCCATGTCAATCCATTGTTGGGTTCAAGACCAGGTTGGGAAATCTCTAAACCATGTTTCTTAACCAAATCCATGTACCTAAGATGCAGAGAAAGTGGCATCAGTTGAAAAGACAAATTTCACACGACGTAAAACACATAAATAATTGGAGCATCGGGTACTAAAAAATAGCAAGTACCTGTCGGCATTAAAGTGTTCGACTCCAAGATCTTCATCCCAAATGAAAATGTATTCATAAGCAGCAACAACATCTGGATGCAAAAATCTCTTTGCATACCACCTATGAAAACAGAAAATCAAGAGAAATCATCACATGCAGAGAGTATAATTTTCACTATTAAAAAATACCTTCTAAATCAAGACTCAAAATTCAGTTCGAAATATCAAGTATCTAAATGATAGTAAAGTTATGCTAGTGACCTTACGATTTTTAACACCCAAAGGTAGAGTTTTCTGATCTTTTTGTTGTCAAGTTAAAAGATCATTTTATATTAGATTTCAAATTATAAAAAATTCACAATTGAGTTTCAACAGTATCAATGTATGTTCACGAAAATTTTATTAATTCAATAACATAACATTATTCATAATACACATCCTAGGCAATATCAAGAATCAAGCAATCAACAAATGCTAGAATGTAGAAAAGACCTGCTTATTACCATTTAGTTTGTTTTCTAACACTGACATGAATGGCCCGCTGTGACCACTCAAATTGATCCCATTCAGTTGTCTGGCCATCATAATGGAAAAGCATTATCTGAAAATCCTCAGAAAACTACAACAACATGGAAAAATTGGTCTTAGTATAATTGAATATTAACCAAAAGGAGATCAAATTAGGGTATCAAAAAATTTGAACTGGCTTAACCTTCTTCACAGCTGCATTAATAATATTTTTTTGGTTCAAACCAACTGTAAATGTTACGAGGTACTTTGGCTTCCTTTTCAAATCCTGAAAGTTCCCGAATGGGATTGTATAAGCATACTTCAGTTCTGTAAATCTCATTGCAATTCATATAACGCCTATGAACTGTAAACCTTACCTCACTAGGTTCACCCCATAATCTTCTCATATAAAAATCTGTTTCTGACACAACAATTCCCGGTGGCAAAGACTGTGCACCACGGGGATTTGTAGGAACATATATCTGAAAGGCAAAAATAAAGTTACTATAATCAGGATAAAAATGTAGATAAGTTTGTGTAAGAGGCAAAAGGTATGCACAGATAGCATGCGAAAAATGTGCACAATTCAAGCGAGCAAGAAAATGAAAAATACCCCCAACGTCAACCATATCAGTTTAATGAAACCAACCATCATTTATCATTTTAACAACTAAAAGCTACAAAATTTCAGAAAATGTAGTAATCTAAGATACCAAATGAACATGAACATGAACAAGCAAACTACCTTGGGTGTCAAAGGAGTACTGCCAGAACCAAGATTTTCAGGAAAACTACGATCACCAGAGTTTTGATGATCTTCATTAAAGGCCATATCAAGCGATGATATTAAACTTGAAGGTAGATTAATCTGCAAATAATATTTTTTTTATTACAATACAATTATCTGAAAATGGTTGATAAACATCCTCTATCAAGCAAGCCGGCAATCTGGGTCATACCTTACTTAAAGAAACAGAAGGAAACGAAACACCTATAAAATATCCAAACACTACGCCCATGATGGTTGTTATAATGAGTCTCGCACCGTCATTTGACCTCTTTAACACCCCACTGCAAAAAGAAAAGGTGAAAAAAAAATTAAAGTAAACTAAAGGGCAGAGATTCGTTTCATACTGAAAATCAAAACGTAAGCCTCAACAAACCTCCGATGCGAGGTGCCCATTAGGATAAAGAGAAGTTGCTCAACTCAAAGGTCACGCACTAGGCAGAACCCGATTATTTGAGCAACTGCAGAATAATCTAGCACATCTGCCACTTTCACAAATCTGAGGTTGCAGTTCACAGATTGACAACCCTGTAAAACATATTCACATGTAAAAAAATTTACATAGCACGGAAGCTAACACAAAACATAAAATTTGAGTACTCTGTACCCAATAAATTATCACTTAATACAGCAAAAGAGTTCTCTACCAAAACTATCCTACTTCAAATTTTGATCTGCGTGGAACAACTCCTGAAGCACATGCAACAGGTGGCAATATGCCGAGCGTAAAAACAACAAAAACACGACGATCTGTGCTTACTCGAAACTAATCGAAGTTTCTACCTCTCCACTCATCTGAATTCCCTAAGTAAATCACTGATCAGAAATACAAACAAATCTTAAACCCCAGCGGCGGAGAAACAAAAATTTTGCAGGATTTAAATCAACAAATAAAAACCGAAATCACAAACTTAAATTCACGAAAAAATAAAAATGCGCGCAGCGAATTCCGCTTCAAATCCTTGAAGATCGACCAACTATTACTCAAATGTACGAGAAATAAATTTAAAAAAAACAAATAGATTTTTTTTTTTAAACTTAGCAAAAACAAATCAAAAATTTTAAATCAGACAGGTTAGGAAGAAGAAAAACTAGGGTTTGAGAGTGCTTACAAGCTTTTGGTGCTTACAAGCTTTTGGCCCGTCGATTAGGGAGGTGATTGGGGAGAGAGAAAGAGAGTGTGTGTGTTTGTGTGTGTGAGAGAGAGAGAGAGAGAGGTTAGTTTTTCTTCGTGTTCCTGAGAGAGGCGTAATGGTATTATTCCCAGCGACAACAAAAAAATAAAAAATAAAAAAGAAAAAAGGCAAATTTAACATTTAAATTTAATTTACCTTTTCACCCTCCTGTAAAATACTATTATTCTTTTCCACTTCAATCATATTCATATCTCTCTGAAATTAAAAACTTCAAATTTTGGAGGGTTCCCAAAAAACAAAGATAAAATGTGCATTGTCTAGTGTAGAATTTTTTTATGAATTTAACGAGATGTTAAATTATCGAATTAGTAATTTAATACATTTTTACATGCTCGATACTGAAAAAAAAATATTATCGAGATTCTACTGTATTACATTTTCGGTGGTTTTGTGCTCTTTGGTAAATCGATCAAATTGTGTTGAATTAGAGTTTCAGCGAGCATCGAATATCAGAGTAGGTAATTCAATTTGGTATTTTTGGTCTTTTTGACTTTAAGAAAATGAATGGGAATAATAACAACTAAAAGAAGAATATATTAAAATAAATAAATAAATAATAATTGAGCGACACACTTCAACAAGACAATTGAATCAAACAAAGACGCGTGCCCCATTGACCAATGATATAGAGCAATCTGTCATGTGATTAGGCAAAAAGTTGAACCACCAACTTTCTTTTTTTTCTTTTTTTAAATATTAAATTCCTAAGTAATTTCACAATTGGGGAAAATACAAATTTCACCCCTCAAATTTGCACGATTTCAAATTTGGACCCCCAAGTTCGTAAAAAATACATTTGCTCCCTCATATTTCAAAAATTAAACATTTTTAGTCATTTCGTCAATCTTCCATTAGTAATAACGGAATCAAGTATGTGTTCAACACTGTCTTAACTGACAGACCAATGGTAAATTGACGGAAATGATCAAAAGTGTTAAATTATTTAACTATAAGGGGCCAAATGAGTTTTTTTGAGAATATAAGAGACCAAATGTGAAATCAGTGCAAATTTAAGGGGTGTAAACTATAATTTTCCCAATCACAATTTTGCATTGAAGGGCATTGGAAGTCAAGAATTGTATATTAATTACACATTACTTTATAATTGTATAATCAATAATTATTATTTTATAATCATCATTTAAGCTTTTTGTGATAAAAAAAAACGTATGTCAAATTTAACACACAAAAAAAAGAGTTTTAAACTTGTATTCGAGGTAGATAAGAGAAAAAGGAAAAAAGTATTGAGCTTGATTCGATTAACAATTGAATTGGGTTGATTTGAGCTTCAATTTATTCTGACATCAATCAATTTCGAGAGACTTAATCTTGTATACATATTTCTTTTATAATCGAACTCGAACACGAATCGAGTTTTACATCTTATAAACAAGAATATATGTTAAAACATATTACATACACTCCCATTAAAATGCTTTATTGGACTTTGTTAATGGAGATATATATTCTTTTAAGAAAAAAGATATTTAAAGTAAAAGGCTATTTTGCCTTTAGATACTTTTTTCTAGATATTTCTAAAGCATCTCTTTTTTTTTCCCTATTTGTAAAAACATCCTCTTCATTTATTATAAATTCATCATTATTATGGTTTAATTATGTGAGAAAAGAACACTATCATCAATTTAATTATGACCAAAAATTGAGCCGATTCACAAAATGACACTACTAAAAAAATGTGACGACACTGGCAACAATATTATCGTCGAATGCTTAACTTATTTAAAATAATTATTTAAATTATTTATATTGTTACTATATTGAATTAGTAGCATAACTATAGAGACAATATCGAGATCAAATAATTGATCTACACATACGATAAAAGATATCGTACTCGAAAGATTATTTGTTATAGTTCGAGTTATATATTATTATATTTTATCTATTTGTTCTTAGTGATTTTCCAAGGATTATTTTTTGAATTTATAATATTTCAAATATCATCACATGGTGATTATCAGAATTGACCTGTCTACTTATATGCAACAACCTGTCATCCAGAAATTACTAATTAGTATACTGGTTTATAAATTAATCAATTTAATATAATTGAGTATTAAATTTAAAATTCACTTATCAAAAAAAAAGTATTAAATTTAAAATTCTGACATGCTTGATTTTATTTTTTCATCACATGCTATTGTTGCTTGAATTAATATTTTTATTTATATATTTTGCAACGGTACTGAAAAAAGAAAATAATTAATTGGTCCAATATATTGATACGGCCCAAGTAAGTAAACATTATGAGGGCTTAACTACAAAAAAGTCCACACAGAAAACCCAAATTCACAAGCCCATGGGTTCAAATGGGATAGTTGCATTTTAGTCCCTCCTAAACCTACCTCGATTTATTTTGGGGTTTACTATTCATAGTGCAATTTTTTCCAGTTACAGTGCGAAATAATTCATTTGTCAAGAATTTATTTAACTTTTTCCTAAATTCTCTCAACCTCTGAATTTTTAAACTTTTCAAATCGTCATTTTTTTCCGATAATATCAATCAAAACACAATAATTATCAATACGAAAGAAACCTACTTCAATTTTGAGATAAAAACGCATTTTTTTTTTATCGAATTTTGACATTTTTTATGCATTTCGTGTTGTATTGCCCGAAATGCAGTATTGCATTTAGTGCAATACAACACGAAATGCATAAAAAACATAAATTTATGGTTTCGTGTATCGTGAAAAAAACACTATTTCGTTCTTCTTTGCACGAAATGCCTTCATCTATTCCGTGTTAGGAAATACGAAATGTTCATGCACGAAATATAGTTGAGAAAGAGTTTGAGAGGATTGTGGTTTTTTACTTTGAAAATTACAAATGAAATAAAATCGCATTCCAAGGTGGTAAAATATGTTCTATGAATAACATTTCAGTTTATATTTCTCCCAAAATAAGGACTTCTTTTATCTTTCTTTTCATTCTTTAGTAAAATTCCAAAATAATAATTTTACAGTTTAATTTCCAATATAAATAAAATAAATCTACAGCTAAAAATAAACAATAATTTAATAATTAAAAAAAAAAAAAAAAAAGCAGCTCAAAATCAACCAATCAGAACTTGGCACAATGGGAAGCCAACCCCGTTTCCCGATCCACCACCACCACCTCCGCCGCGCCGCACTCCAGAACATCCTGCCCTAGCTTAGCTCCGGCGGCCTTCAACCCCTTCAACGACACCGCCTGATTGAACAAATTCAACGCCGGCAGCTTCCCCACCGGCGGCAATTTCCCATTCGGCAACAAATCCCTAAAATCCCTCCCCAACAGCGGCACCTCGAAATCCGATTTATCGTGCTTCACGACATTGTCCTTGGCGCTAATGTGCGCGCCGGGCTCCATATGATTCGTCGAAAAGCTCGCCTGATTTGGGAAATTAGGGTACAAACTCACGTAACCCCTCAAATACATCATATCAATCAGAAACTTCTTCCACGAAGCCTGCCACCCGCCTCGTCCTCGATTTCGGAATCTGCACCGGATTCTGCTTCGCATCCTCCGTAAACCTAGTGTTCATATACACGTAGATTCCCTCCATTGTTTGGGGAAGAACACCGCCCCCCAGCTACAGGGCAATTGGTGCAGGTACGGCGTGTTTGGGTGTATCCCTTTGAAGAACTCCGTCGCATTCCACTTCGGCCTCTCCTTCACCACCTCAACCAAACGCGGCGTGTACAGAGAAATCGAGGCTAGTTCGGGTAATTGTACTTGTGGATCGTAGTGGTAGGATAAAAGAGCGTTCTTTATCCATAGGTAGTAGTATGGGGAGACTTCGATATCGTCCTCGAGTAGGAGGCCGAAGTTGTCGTCCGACGAAGGGTACCAGCTCTCGCTTACGGCCCGGATCAATCCGCCCTGGATGATCCTGCGGCGGAGGATCTTCGGGCCGTGGGCCCACTCGAACGAGTTTGCGAGCTTTAGTGTGGCCTCGTCGACTTTGCTGTCCATGTTGAAGGTGATCGCCACCTCGTCGCCTAAGTAGTAGGCGTTTGATAGGGACTTGAGGAGGCGCGTGAGGGAATTGACGCGGTTTTGCGTGATGATGCTTATTGACAGCCTCATTCGATTCCAATCTGCGTTTTTTCGAATAAAAAAATTATGGTTAGGAGTTGAAATCAAGAAAATGCACCCTGTGTAGGGGTGGAAGTCGGACTGATCGAATCTGAACTGACACTTTCGGAAGTGAAAAACTAGTTTCACTCAGAATTTTTCTGGGAAAACCGGGAATGGAAAAAAAAATGTTGCAATATTGGAAATTTTTGGGTCGAAATCGACAGAATTCATTTCCTTTTTTTTTAGTACCAATAGTATAAAATACATAATATTGTTTGTAAGTTTCATTTCCAGAATTCTGTTTTGGAGTTTTAAAAAAAATTTAAGAAATTAACATCGGATCGGAAATTGGAATGAAAAAAGTAAAATAGTCGGAACTTTCAGAATTCGGAATGAAAAATATTGTTCGTAAAATTAAAAAAAAAATATTTGGATCAGAATCAACAGAATTCGAATTTTTTTTCCAATTTCCTCCTCTAATTATGTGCAGTAATAGAATTAATAAGTTTGTGTTAAGTTCTTACTAGGCAAGGCCGTCGGTCGGAGATCGGCCATCCAAAGTGCCTTCGGCACCGTAGATCTCGGCAGAAGCACCAAAGTCGAGCCGTTCAAATTCGTCTCGGCAGCCATTTTCAACGCCTTCTTCACATTCGTTTCGATATCAGAAACCGCAATTACCACACTCGGGTTATGAATCTTGATCAACCCTTTCATGCTCGCATACACACCTTGAAAAACGGGAACCTCCGAGTCGGAAACCGCAGCGGATATCGCACCAATCCCGAGATCGAAAATCTTGAACCGTCTCTCCTTGCACACCGACTTAGGCCACTTTAAAGCCACCGCCGCCTCCTCGCAGGGGCAGAAACCCCCGCCCGAGACGACTATGTAGGCCTTCTTCCCCACGGTGGTTCGGAATTTTTCGAGGAGGGGCGAAAGGGTCTTTACCTCTTCGATGGAGTGCGCGTAGAAAAGGGCGTCGATCTTTT